CCCAACTTCCTCGCCCTTGAAGTTGCGGCAGGTGCCCTTCCCCGCCCCTTTCCCGGGAGAAAAAGGGGGAAAAAAAATAAAAAAAAAAAAGGAATAAAAGGAAAAGGAGGGCGGAGGGAACCCCGAAGTGGAGGAGGAGGAGATGGTGGTGAATGGATCCCGCCGTGCTCGGCCATGCTCGGGCGGCCGCGGCTCACAAAGGACGAGCCGCGGGAGGGTTTTTTTTTTTTATTATTTATTTTATTTTGGGGGGTGGGAGAGGGGGGGGGGATGGTGGGAAAGCTCGGAGCTTTCCCCAGGAAAAAAATTTGGGGGCCGGCGCGCCGAAGCCGCTGCTGGAGCAGCTCGGCCGGACCCGCAGAGAGGTGGAATCTCCTTCCCAGGAATTTTCCTTCCTTCCCAGGAGTGAGTTTTCCTTCCCAGGAGCGAGTTTTCCTTCCCAGGACTTTTCCTTCCTTCCCAGGAGTGAGTTTTCCTTTCCAGGAGCGAGTTTTTCTTCCCAGGACTTTTCCTTCCTTCCTTCCCAGCCAGGAAAAAAAAAAAAATCACCCGGAAAAAAAAAGGATTTTTTTTTCTTTTTTCTTTTTTCTTTTTTTTTTTCCAATTCCCCCGAGGCCAAAAGTATTTGGGGTAAATTTTGGGCTCTGTTTTTAGCTCTGGAGGGCGAGGGGAGGTGGCGGGGTGGGGGTCAGGGGGAGGTGGATGCAGCCACTCACGGGAGAAAGTTTTGGGGTCGAATCCAGAGCATCTTCCAGCCTTTATTGACCCTCTGTGCTCGTTCCCGATGATTGAATTATAGGGTGGATTTAATGGCTGGAAAGGCCACTAAATATATATCTTATATAGAATATATCCTTATATTCCTATATTTTATTTAGAATATATCCTTGTATTTCTATATTTTATATAGAATATATCCTTATATTCCTATGTTATATTCACATATTTTTATTCCTTGTATTCCTATATTCTATTTATATATTTTTATTCCTCTAGTACATCATATACACAATATTTTAACACCCGGGGGATGCACCCAAAGCCCCTGATTTAACCCTCAGCTCTTTCTTTCCTCTCCCCCCCGCAGCTTCCCGGAGCAGACCAGCCCACCATGACTCACCCGGCGCCCCCACGACCCTGAAACTCCCCCCTCCAGCACGGAAAACCCTCCAAAAAACATCAAAAACCCACCCAAAAATGCGGCTTTTCCGCCGCCGCTCCAGCCCCTTGAAGGTGGCTCTGGCGGGCGCCGCCTTCCTCATCTTCCTCTTCATCGTCCAGAAGGACTCAGGGGGGCCCAGCGAGGCCGGCGAGGAGCCCTGGCTGCGAAATATCGTCCAGGGCAAGGGCCAGGTGCTGGATCTGATGCTCGGGGCCGTCCACAACCTGCGCGACTCCATGCCCAAGCTGCAGATCGGAGCCCCGGAGCCCCCCCGGGACCCCCTGCCCGGCTCGCCCCGCTGCCCCCCCGGCGTTTACACCTCGGCCGAGCTGCGCCCCTTCCTGGAGAGACCCCCCCAGGACCCCGCCAGCCCCGGCGCCGACGGCAAAGCCTTCAAGAAGGAGCGCTGGAGCCCCGAGGAGCAGCGGGAGAAGGAGAAGGGTTACGACAAGCACTGCTTCAACGCCTTCGCCAGCGACCGCATCTCCCTGCAGAGAGCGCTGGGGCCCGACAGCCGCCCCCCCGAGTGAGAGAGGGAAACACCCTGGCCAAAAAAAAAACCCTTCCCCGGGGACCTGGCCCCTGCTCCTGGCGATTTTGGCCTTTTTGCCTTGTGGTTTTACCTTTTTTCCTTGTGATTTCACCTTTATCCCTCGTGATTTCACCTTTTTCCCTCCTGATTTCACCTTTTTCCCTTGTGGTTTCACCTTTTTCCCTCGTGATTTCACCTTTATCCCTCGTGATTTCACCTTTATCCCTTGTGGTTTTAACCTTATTCCCCTAAAGTTGGGCAGCTTGCTGCCTTGGAAAGTGTGGCCCTCATTGCCTTGAAGTGGGTCGCTTATTGCCTTGATTTTGTCCCCTTTTGCCTTGATTTTGACCCTGAATTTGTCCCCTTTTGCCTTGAATTTGGCCCCTTTTGCCTTGATTTTGGCCCCTTTTGCCTTGATTTTGACCCTGAATTTGTCCCCTTTTGCCTTGAATTTGGCCCCTTTTGCCTTGATTTTGGCCCCTTTTGCCTTGATTTTGGCCCCTTTTGCCTTGATTTTTGCCCTTAACCCTCGAATTTTGGCCCCTTTGCCTTGAATTTGGCTTTTGTCCCCTTGAATTTGTCCCCTCTGCCTTGAATTTGGCCCTTTTCGCCTTAAAATTTGGCCCCTTTTTCCCTTTAACTTGTCCCCTCGCTCCTTAAAATTTATCCACTTACTCCCTTAATTTTTCCCCTTATTCCCCGAAATTTAAAGGGAAATAAAAGCCCAGGGAGTGGCTGAGCACCGGCAGGGGACTGAAGGGATATTTATTAATATTATTATTATTTATTTATTTATTAATTATTTATTATTTATTTATTTTTATTTATTGTTTATTTATTATTTATTTATTTATTTATTTATTTATTTATTTATTTATTTATTTATTTATTAATATTTCCCCCCAATTCCGGCCCCTCGGGGTCGGGTTTGAGGGCTCTTTGTGTCTCCCTGTACCTGCCCGGGGGTTCCAGGATCTCCCCCCCCTCTCCCTCCCCTCCCTCTTTTCTCATTCCCGCCGGCTCCAATAATCAGAGTTTTTCTTTTCTCAGCCGAGTGGAACAGCCCCGGACCCCGCTGGGTGCGCGGGGGGAGGGAGGGAAAAGGGGGGGGGGAAACTCCAGGGATTTCCTCGCTGTGGGATTAACAGCCCTGCCTGTGGAGAGGGTGGGAATTGGGGCTGGAAAAAGGCTCGGGAAGGAGGGAGAGAGCCGGGCTTGGTGTGGAACCCCCTCCCTCCTCACCCCCCCCTCGAGGGATTATCTGCGCTTGGCGGGTGACAAAGGAGGGAGGGAGGAGGGGAAGGGAATTTGGGAACGGGACTCGCTCAACCAAAACCCACGGGAATCAAAGGCGGGATGAGCCG